TAAAAACTTTACAGTTTTCCAGATTGGAATTCTAAGGTTTCTCTCTTTTCGCAGGTAATGGAACTTTGAAAATTTGTGGTTTCTCGATTTTTGCAGGTATTCTAACCATCTCAACCACTTTTTCTTGATGAATTCTGATATTTTTTCATCCCATTGTATTCTGCTGCTCCATATCTCCTACATGAGAAATTTGCTTCTGATTATTCGATTTTTCGGAAGGCCTAAAAGATCATTAACCGACATGATTAATTTCAAGACTTCTCTTCTTGTGGAATTTAAAATTTTCTGGTATATTTTTCGATAATTCGAGGGAATTACTCATCCAACTGAGTATATTTTTTATGGATTTCAGTTATTTCTTTTACTATTTTCATGTCTTTTTCTTCGTCTGATATACTGTCTAAATGGTCATCCAAATAATATTTTTTCCTAATGGAATTTACAGCTTCAAAAAAATCATTTCCGAACTGTTCGGCATTTTTGTTCCTTATATATTGAGCACAAAATGGGGAGGATACGGCTCCGAAAATAATGACGTTCCTGGAATAAACATCAGGGTTTCTTATTCTTTCTGAACCTTTCCATGAAACTTTTCGTGTATCCTGGTCTTCTTTCAGAATTTTCATTTGGTGAAACATCTTCTCTATAAAACCACAAAACAGTAAGTTTTCTTAACGAAATTTCCGAATAATGCCAACTGAAGAGTCGAATACGTCGGGACTATTCAGTAGAAAATTGTCAATTTTCATTATCATCATCAGAATCGAATACAAATCGAAACTTACCGGGTTCATTCCCATTGTCTACACCAAAATGGAAAAAATACCATATTTTTCTATTTTCGGTATTGTTCTCCACTTGATCAGGCTTCAATAATCGACAGTATTTCTTCTCGATATACAACTCAATTTTTTCTTCATACTTTTGGGCAAATTATCCCTCTCTAGCCATTTTTTTTTTCAATGGATTTCAACTTCTGCATTGCCATCGATTTAGTTTTCGGCAAAGTTATATACTCTTTTCCTACCACCGGAAACCAGTTTCTCAACCATCTTCTGTTTTTCGTGATACATTCATCATCAAACTTACTGCATGTTTATCTTTCTCATTTTTCATTTCTTTTCTTTTCAAAACATAACTTTCAAATGAAAAAAACTCCTTAACTTATTCGTGTAGGTTTCTCAAGTCTTCATCGTATTTTTTTTCACAAAGAGGATTGTGTTATTGATAATTCTTTTCAAGTTTTCTATATTGCCGTGGTTAATCCAACCTAATTTTGTTTCGAAAAGAACCGAAACATATTTTGGGCTTTCAAAAATCTCCCAGCTGATGAATAAATTCCAATTGTCTTGGCCTATCAATAATTTCGGCTTCAGTAAACTCATTTCCGAAATGTTAACAGTCTTCAAAGGGGACCACTTTTCTTTGAGTTTCTTTGAATTTGAACTGGTGAATACATTCCTCCATAGTTCAGGCATTAGTTAATTCATAAGCTTTTCCGTTACTTTCGCTGATTATAATGTTGATTTTTCGGGTTGCCATTGATATACTTGAATTTCTGTGAGCCCATCTTAATCCAAGATTGGTGGGATCACCCTGTATATTTAACCAGTTCTCAATTTTTTTCTGTAGAAGAGTTACTGTTGCTGCTTCATCAAAAAGGGCATACATTTTCAATTATTGTCCATTGACTTTTATTTTTACGGAAGCAACTTTCAATTGGACGAAATTTCTATCAGAGTTGTTCTTGTCGGATATTATATCGTTTTGATTCATATGGTCCGTTTCACAGACTCTCTCTTTTCACATGCAATGAATGATGGTGAAATTTTTGGCAGCTGTCCCTGTCACAAACCGTTTTTCTTAAACAGTTTTTCACTCTATGTGCTGCTTTCAATTCATAACAAAATTAAAATTTTCTTCTAAGTCAAGTTTCAGGATTTTTCACATTTTTAGACAAAATGAATTTCTAAATCGCAATATCTACAGTCAAAATGTTTCTTGGTCTTCGTTTTCTCATTTGCAGTGACTGACGTATGTTCAAATTTGGATGACCTGAAATGTCTAGTCTCCTCTATAGGGTTTGAAGGTTTGGTTGAAGTTTGTACATAGATAGCCGCTTTCGAATTTTTCCATATCCAGTCGCTGAAGTCCTTCAGATAAAGATAATTTTCACTCAATGATATTTTCTTAGAAGACATCTGCATTGAGTAGGTTAACTTCTGTAACGATTTTTCAGCAAATGAGGTCTATCAAAATGATTTGTCTTATCAAGTACTTCTAATGTAGCAGCTAGGTAGGCAACTGTTTCAGATATAATTTTATCTGCATCTCAATTACACATTATACATAATATTATATGTTACAATTATATAGATGATCTAGATAAAAATATATATAATAAGAATATATTAAAATTCAGTACTTATATCATAGTTCGTGGAAGTGACAGCATCAATAATTATATAACAATTTGAAAATAATATAGTTACAAACATATAAATAGACATTGACAAAGAATATATAAAACGAAAGTGGAGTGAAAATTTAACACTTATATATAGTGCGTGGAACTGAATGACATCAATGATAATATAATATGCTATGCAAACAAAACGGTACTCACAAAGTCATAGACTGTCTGTCTGTGGTGACAATATCGTGCATTTCCTAATACCTACACATTTAGTAAGTATTTTTTTAGATTTCTCATAAATTTGTTAAATATTCTTATTGTTTTTATTTCATGCGGCAAAAAGTTAAAGAACCTTGGAACCAAATGGGTATAACAGCGTTGACCAATAGACTTGGAGGCAAATGGTGTTCTAAAATGACCCGTCTTCCTTCTCGTATCGTAGGTATATTCTAGTTTGAAAAGGTATGATTTGTGTTTGAATGGAAATCAGGTTGCTTTGAAAAAATAAATGCCTCTCTCACATCACCTGAATGTGTTGGCTTGTTTAAAAAAAAAAACAATATTTCCATTTTGTCTTCCTAAAGGACTTGAATGTTTCGAGTGTGGTTCTCTTGATTTTCAATCCAAGTCTATTCAAAATCATCTATTTCTCCTGTTCTAATATACGCGCCAATGCTTTATCTGTGTTTATCTGAGCCTCTATCTTGAGTTCAGAGGCGGTTCTGCTTGCATTGGATTTTTCGCTTTAGAACTTTTTCTGGTGCATGTTTTAGTATTAACAATACTTCCTTTAGGAAGTTCAGCTTTACTATTTGAACACATATTTGATCTCGCTTGCTCTTCTCCTACATCATGAAAAATAACATTTTATGTCGTCATACTTCTTGTCTGAATTTTATTTGTATGTATGGATGAATGTATGGATTCAATATATTAAGGTATTGAAATGAAACTCACAATTATCTGTCGAAACAATGACTGTCAACTTTGTTTTTTTTGTTCTTTACCTAGTAACATTCGAAATCAATCAACACAAAATCATTACAACAAATTTTAACATGAGTAATACTGATGGAACTGTTACAGTCTCTTCAGCGGTTCCTAAATCTAGAAATATTAAAGAAATCAAGGTTCATTGAAAAATCACCTACTCATAAGAACATGGGCTATCAGGGCCACAGTCATGATTGAAGGGAACAAAATCTGGACTTCTAGACCGTGGTAGTGGTTTGTTCTGATTATAAATTCAAATAATTGTTGGTATGAGAAGACGTGGTTCCAGTGTTTACAAAACGTTCGTTAAGAATTTCATCAACCAATAAGTCATGATCTAATCATGAAGCACATTGGGTATAATAATAATCAAAATAGGTAGCAATATATTTTTATATTACCAATACATTATATGTATAACTCGATGATCTACATTATACCTGAACATTATACAGTTTTTAAAGCCGATTGGAATAAATCATTATTTCGGCTACTGTACATATTTCAAAAAATCCGGAAACACGTTGAATTTAAATTATAATTTGAAATTCTTCAACGTAATAATGTCACCCGTACCTTCAACTCCCTTCGAATGACAGGTACAACCCCCAATATTTTAAATTGGGAGTACAGTTTTGTGATATATCGTTTGGAAAGTTTTTTTATTTTCAAGTTTATTGCGCAACAATTAAGATAAAATAAATTAAAGTCATGTGGTTTCCGAAATTCGATAAAATACACTCAAAAACTATAATGTAATGCAAAACGCAATGAAATGTAGAATATGGATAAGAACTGTGGAAGTTATCATAGTAGATGATCAAAATGTTGACCGCGAACGTCATGGCAACATCCTAATCTCAAGTAAAACTGTCTTCTAACATTATTTAACATATCAGGCGTAACTGACCTAATTGCAAGTGTTATTCGTTCTTTTAAGTTATTCAAATCTGATGGTTTGGTTTTGTACACAAGGCTCTTCACATATCCTCATAAAAAGAAATCTAATGGCAAGGATCAATCGATCCTTGCCTCCCTATCCACCGATTGGGTGGATAGGGTGGTGCTCCATCCTACTGAAACTATATCGTATTCACTGGAATTTGAGGGTTTCTTTGATCAGGATATGAATTTGCTAAATTTGGAATGACATACAAAACAAGTTGACAAGGCGTTTTGAACTAACGTTGCCACAGAAATTATTTGCAGTTTTTTAAAAGATACCATCTAAAGAGAACGTTGATATGGTTTTTGCTTACGTTCTTATCACCAATACCTCAACATGAAATAAGTTTTGAGTATATTGCAATAAGTTTTGGGTGTATTTCATCGAATTTCGGTAACCACATGATTGAAAGCGATAACATTTTTGAATAGAGAATGAAGAGACCTTCCAAACGATATATCGCAAACCTATACTTCCCATTTGAAAAATTGGGGGTTGTACCTGTTATTCGACGTGAGTTGAAGGTAGGGGTAGCATTTTTCCATTGTAGCATTATAATTTGTATTCGAATTGTTTCGGAATGTTATGTTATGTACTGTAACCAATATAATGAATTTATTCCATTTGGCTTTTACACACTGTATATTGGTTTTTGAATATATCGCTTTCAGAACAACTGACGTCTCAACTATGTACGTGAATGAATAATAATTAGCTCGAACACTATTCATGAGTTTCCATAATTGATAGGTACTTTTGAATAAGAAATAATGATGATAAAATAAAACTCTGAAGAGCCACATCAATATTTCAATAATGAACTGCATCAAAATTATTATCTAAACATTCTTCGGAATCGCTAATGATTATTCCTAATTTGTCAAATGAACTGATGACCAATATTCTGAATAATTCTTTATATTTTCAACACTATCTATACCTAATTATTCCCCATCATGATAATATCAGGTAAATAATTTTTCCATTTCCAATACACTTTTTCCCTTTGTTTCAGGTAAGTAAAAATAAATGAATATGAATGATATAATACATAATAGACTATGTATCCAAAATACCCAATATAAACCAAATGTTGACATCATGATCGGAAATAGAAATATAACAAAACCCATTATCAGATCGTTGTTCACCATTATGAAAGAAATTGCAATCGGCCTGACATTTACTGGGAATATTTCACTAAGGAGAACCATTGGGACACAGCCAAATCCAATTCCATTGACAATGCAAAACAATATAACACTAGTAACTGGCATCCATCCAATGGACTCCATCAAAGGGGATCCCTGTTGTTTCAACCAAAAAAATAAGCCGAGTAATGACAAAGGTATACTACATCCAAGTGAAGATATGAGTAAAAGACATCTTCTACCATATGACTCAACTATGAAAGATGCTATAAAAGCACAGATAACTTGAACTGAAGCCGCTACTATGGAACTTATGAATGGCGATACGCCTGTACCAGATTCTTCGAAAATAATCCCAAGGAAAGACATCAAACCTGGTGCTCCGGTTAAAAATGCGAATGCCCATACCATGTTGGCAAGGATGAGTCTTTTTCTGGTTGACTTGTTTTTCACGAGCGATACAAAAGTAGCACTTGTTTCAGATTTTGAACTGACACTTAGAGCTATTTCAATCGTTTCGACTTCTTTGGACACGAAGCGATGGCTCTTGTTCCTTAATCTTGACAAAGCAATCTTGGCACCATTCATATTTCCCTTCATGATGAGGTAAACTGGTGATTCAGGTAGAATCGTAATGAATATAACAAAATAAATCGCCATCGGCAAGGTACATAAGAGTGTAAATAATTTCACAGAACAAATTGGACCAGCTGCATAACCAAAAAGACTTCCAAGAGGTAATCCCATTGATATGAAACAAGCAAGTTTTGCCCTATTATGATCTTCACTTATTTCGCTAGAATACATAGTCGTTCCAAGCATCCCGGCTGCAAAAGCGAAGCCGTTCATGAAGAGAAATATATAATATAAGACTATATGTGTGGAGAATGCGAGGCAAATCAAATCTGCAATGATTATAGCAGAAATCACTAGCAGTCCCTTTCTTCTTCCATAAATGTCGAAGCAATTTCCGACCAATAGGAATCCAATCAAATTTCCAAGTACGGGAAGAGATCCAAGAAAAGACAACTCCACCGGGGTGACAGGTTCTTCAAGAGGATTGATATCTGAGTTGTTTGACAATAGTTTCAGTGATACTGGTGAAATCCAAACCGCAAGAATCCCAAACGTGGCTGACATCAGGTTAACTGGAAGTACAAAAACATATATCCGTAATATTATCGACAAGCATATCCAGGAAATAAATCCTTATGACTTCATAATGATATTTGCCTAATGTTCAGTGATTTATCACCTATCCGAAATGAAACATGATATCTAATAAAGTCATTTCAACAAAATAGGGATTATCTTGCTGTTTGTATGAATTTTGGTCTGTTTCGGATTTTATTTGAAATACTTAGGAACTGCTATACAGAGTGGTCCAACGAAAAGTATGCACCTTGCTTTTCTCCTTTTTTTGTAACTCAACGCAAAAATGCTCGGACAGGTCAATTTAAGACACATTTTAGATGTATCTTTCTACCTGTGCCTTCAACCCCCTAGCGAGGGTAAGTAACAACCCTAAAATTTCAAATGGAAAGTGGAATCGAGTGATATATCATTTGAAAGGGTACAAAATTATCTTTTCAATGATACCAAATTTTTTGTATTTCAGTCAAACATGTAGGTATTATGAAAAAAAAACAACTACAACCCAGTACTTTGAAATGTATGATTGACTTAGTAGAATCCTACTTCAGCAAGTGCTGAAAATGTGACCCATTTGCTTCCATACAATAATACAGATTTTGTTCAAATCTATTTTTAACATTCTATAGCATATCAGGTGTTATACTTCTGCACTCTGCTGTAATTCGTTGGCAAAGATCTTCTATGGACTCGGGCTGCGTAGCAAAACATTTATTTTTCAAGTGTCCCCAAAGGAAAAAGTCTAAAGGCGATGAATCAGGTGACCTGGCAGGCCATTCGATGGGGCCTCTCCTTCCAATCCACCGTCCAGGAAACTGGTCATCTAAAAACTCTCTTACCGGAGCAACATAGTGAGGAGGTGCTCCATCTTGCTGGAAATGAAGCCGATCATCATTATGATTTTGCTCATTTTCAATTATTTCTGTTATGAGAGGATCAGTTTTATCTTCAAGCATGTGTAGGTAGACCTCACCAGTTAAATTCCCAGGAATAAAAAGTGGCCCTACGATATGACTACCTAATATGCCACACCAGACATTGATTTTTTGAGGTACTGGGTATGGACCTCTCGGAATAAGTGTGGGTTACTGTCATCCCAGTAACGGCAATTATGCATATTCACAGCTCCTTAAAAAAATGTACTCTCATCGGAAAAGCACGTGTTGAATGATAGGTGCGGATCATCAATTAGTAGCTGGCTCAGTTGTTCACAAAATTGCAGCCTTCTATCAGGATCATCTTCATTGAGTTCCTGTACTAATTTAATTTTGTAGGGATGAAATTTATAGGCTTTTAATATCCGTATTATGGACGAACGGGAGACACCTGAGGCTGCAGCAAGCTGACGGGTATTTTGAGTATGATCCAATTCAACATGTCCCAAAACAGCGACTTCCACTGCTTCATTTCTGATCGGTTTCCGTGGTTGGTGTTTCACATTACAGACAGATCCGGGATCGACAAACTTTTGGACTAACTTGGCAATGTACGAATCATTCACATTTTTCCCGGGATGACTGTTATTAAATTCTTTTTGTACACTTATCTGCTGCTGTTATTTGAACCAAAAAACGCACGAGAGAAATTGAGGAATGTAGTAGTAATAAAAATGCCGTTTTCTTCACATTTTCATTAACACCAAAAATATCGAGTAAATGTTCTTGCTTTTTTTATAACTATTCAAGTAAATACAACAAATTAGGTATCATTGGAGAGAGAATTTTGTGCCCTTTCAAATGATATATCATTCGACCCCACTTTCCATTTAAAATTTCAGGGTTGTTACTCACCCTCGCTAGGGGGTTGAAGGCAGAGCTGGAAAAATACATCTAAAATGTGTCCCCCTCAAAAGCAAAATTGACCTGTCCAAGCATTTTTACGTTAAGTTACAAAAAAAGGAGAAAAGCAAGGTGCATACTTTTCGTTGTACCACTCGATATGTGTAGGATTACCTTTTTTAAATGAGATTATTTGACTTGCGAGAAGTTTTTGGCAATCCATTGTTTGTTTCTGTCTTGGAAAGAATTATCATTGATGAATTTTGAGTATAGAGTAGTCTAGACACGCTGAAGAACCTATTGTATAGCGAATTACGTGTTAATTTCTGTAAAACTGTGTAGTGAAAATCTCATAATGAAGTGTTTCTTGCTTTCCTCAGTTAGGGCGAACCATCCACATTCTCACTGTACATATACACATATACTAGCTTTATGTCTTGATTAAATCTATAGATTATCAAAAATAGAAGGTGATTAAAGTAAATAAATTATAAAACACTTTTGTGATAAACTAGATGGAGAGTTTTTTATTGACTTTTTTGGATATATTTACCTTCCACAATCTGACAAATATGAGAATTATAACGGAGAACTTTACACAGATGTAGAAAGGGGAAACTTTTTAGTTAACCTCAATAAGTTACTGCGTAAAATCAAAGTATTTTTCACAAAGAAAAATGTTCAATTTATCAGTAACGTGTCCTATTTATTACTTATCTCAACGTTTCAGATGCCAAAATCTGCCTTCGTCTTCAGAAATGAACAAAATTAAAATATACATGGTGTTCCAAATTCAACACCATTGCCAACTCCTTTATTATTGATGCTACGAATTTGGCAAAAACAAAAAAAATTGACAGTCGCGTTTTCAAAATATTTCATAAAATGATATTTCTTTCATTGGAACACCCTATACTGCATCATGCATTTCGATTCGTAATAACATTCTCATCAACTGAGCTCATATCACCTTCCCTCCTACAGTTGAAAATGGGCGACTTATGTGGACATATTTATTTTTTCACTAGTACAAACAATATTTTTGTTTTGGCGAATAAAGGGCTATAAAGTATCGAGTAAAATTCAAAAACATCGCCTTCTTCTTGTTTACATATTTGGCCCTTTCTCTTGACACTACGTGTTGCTTTCAACACAATTCGGCTATCAATTCTGTTAATTATAGTTTCAATATAATTTCTCAGTTCATCTTTGTTATCATGTTTTATTTCGTACACCTCACTTTTCAGAAATCCCCAAAAATAAAAATCTAGAGAAGGCCACTTAACAGGACCATTTGTAGCAATCCATCTGTTTTCAAAACAGTCATGCAATATTCTTTCTACGTCACTGAAATTATGTGCCATCCTGCTGAAAAAAGATCATCCGACGAGCCTCCAGATCAAGATCATCGAAAAACTCTCCCAAAACTCTTGTTAATGAATTACTGTAACGGGGTCCGTTTAAAGAACCATGATAGAAAATTGGACCGGTAATTCTGTCTCTAAAAAGACCACACCAAATATATAATAATGAACCGTTTTTGCGGATTGTGGATGGATTATGTCTACTCCAATGATGGAAATTGTTTCTACTATACATCCCATATAATATTTCTATAGAAGTTTGTATCTTGTCTGCATTTATTCATAAATCACCGTCAAAACCCAATTCGTCTCTCAGGGACCAGAGTTTGCACTGGTTTTATGTTTCTTCAGAATTCGTTGAATAACAGACGGTGGAACAACTATTTCTCCAGATAAATGTCTATTGGAATTATTTGGATTCACCTCAAAGTAGACTGAAACGTCAAGTTCTGTATCTTCAGGTATTATGAACAATTTTTTACTTCTCCTATTCCGATTAGGTAATTCACGATCCGGCAACGAATTGCTGCAGTGTTGGAGTGCTCGTACGCTATTTTTTGGCAAACCAAATAAAATTATAATATATAAAAAAATTTTGATGGAAAAACGGTATTTCGAATATTATTCGAACAATACTATACAATAATCTATGACATTGCCATGATATACTTGAGAATATTTGACAAATTTTATTCAACAAATTCAAGGCAACTTGGTTACTCATTATACTTCTGTTATATCGAATCAAACACATTTTTTCCAACCGCCTTAATATGACGTACCAGTATTTTCTGTTCTGTACAAAAACGGCTTCAATGTTATCATTATAGCTGACATATTTTGAATCGCTTAAAAAATGCGGCTAGTGTAATGCTTCAAGATGAAAATTATCGTTTTGTAAATTAATAGCAAATAGCTCAGTGGTATCAAGTGAGTGGTATGACATCCAGTCATTTTAGGTTTTTTTTGTGTGTCAGCACTGTATGAAATGGTTGTGATGTTTACTCCCAAATACAGTAAAAAAATTGTGAAATTGAGCGCGAGATAAATCTGGAAAAGTACACCAAGTGAAAATACGGCTGCTGATATAGTCAGTAAGTTGAAGGCCTTTCACCAAATGTTGAATCACCTCCCAATTGTGAGAACTTCACCTCAGAAATCGATTTCAAATACACCAAGTGGATCGTATTGTTGCCAAATTGTAACAGATAGCGAGAATTTTGTGAAATTTCACTTTGTGATTTATAAACCAAATAATTATAGCTGCAATTATGAACGATTCAACAAATCTATCGGCAGAGCATCTCCAGTTATATAATTTACTACTGAAGGCGAATCAGGACCAAACCAATCAGATCAAAGACGAGTTTCAAAAAACAACTTGTAAATTGATACAAAAATTGAATCAGGCTAATCACGAAATCGAAATTTTGAAACAAAAATGTGTTGAACTGGGAAAACAATTATTCGACTAAATTGGTGAAACTAGGAGACAATGAATATGCAGAAACGTTAGGCTTGAATTGGTGTCCAAATACGGATAGTATACAGAATAAATAATGAGATAACTAATAAAAAGATAACCAAACGCGTTATTTCATCTAGCATTTTTCAAGTGTTTGATCCGCTTGGATTATTAGGTCCATGTATAATATTGGTCAAAATTCTCCTTCAAAATTTGTGGATAGAAAAGGTTACTTGGGATCAAAAATTACCTCACAGTATAAATGTATTTTGATCTGAATTCCGAAATGACATCCGAATTAACCGTCACGTGTTATGTATTAAACCTCTAAGTATTGAAATGCACGGTCTACTTAAGGTCAGTTAATAAACACGGAAATATAGAAGTCA